AGTAATAAAAAAAACCCTCATATTTAAAATACACATATGTAATTCCCTGTATCCATATATGTTGTCAATACAAACAATGGAAGTAAGAAACATTGTTTTACTTAGCAACAGCCAGATCCTGTTTTTTCACGCAGTTTGCAGTCTACAGCATGCTTTACTCACTCTAAATTTAACAGAAATATGCCATAATAAAAATTATTACATGTGACGGGATCTGAAAGACTGGCAAAGGAAAATCACGCCTAATGAGAGAATCCCTTAAAACAGGGAATTGGGCTAGTGTAAGCCAAATTGGTGAACCTGATATGATGGCAAAGCAGTCAGTCTACCTTCTCCGTTTCATGCTTTGGAGAGGCAAAGAGGTGAAAATAATTTTGACTATATGATGTAATGAGATTGTGTTGGCATAGTAGTATTTACAGGGGGCAAGTGTTTAGAATTTTATGTTTTCTTTTCTCATGTATTTTTTTTGGGTACATTAATCCCTTTCAGCATTCAGCAGGTGCCTTAGGGTATACAGACTTAAGCTGACCTTGTTTTTACAGATTGTTTTGGGAAAACTAAAAACATGACACAGCTTCCATTTGGAAATCCCAGAATGGCTTTTATGAAGACACTGAAGGTCTTTTAGCAGACTGGCTACCTGCTCGCTACGGTTTTGTTTCTGAGGAGGAGTGATGGGAAAAGAATATCTTAACAAGGATGACGTCTGGATTTTTGCCTCAGCTATTTTCTACTGAAAAACACGTATAATGAAAGCTGGAGACCTTACGTATTATTACATTTTATCACATAAAATATTATATATTGTTATAATTTTCAAAGATTTGGCCCTTTCCTCATTTTTTAGTTCTTTACATATTTGTTACACTTAAATGTTTCAGATCATCACACCAATTTTAATTTTAGTCAAAGATAAACTCAAGCATATTACTGGCATCAAGACTTCTGGATCCCTGTGGAGGAATTTTTGCCCACTCTTCTTCGCATTACTTTGCTATGTTTTCATTTATGTGTATTTTTAGATTTGACATGAGAAGCACTGCTAAGAAATTGGGGAAGTGGCAAATGTTTTTTTCACAGTTTGGTTGGTTTATTTTTAGAGTGAGGATGGTGGGAGATAAGGGGGGTGGGGTCGTTATGAAAATACTAAACTTCCATATAGTGCATCATATTCAGAGTCACTTTTGATTTTTCAATTATAAACCCAAATTTTACAGACGTACAGTATGAAAGTATTTAAAGAACACAGTAAACAAGTAAAGGAAAAAAAACATAAAGGTAATAAATGGTCCACACAGCTGTGCACATAGAGCACCCTAACACTTATTTACATGCAGCCTGCAAAGGTGAGATTCAAATCACAGATCACTTATTGAGCTACAATATCTTGTTGTATCAACAACTCTGTATCTTAGGTAACTAATGATCATTTTTATATTTTTTTTGTAAACATCATTCATTATAAAACAGTATCATAACCCTCAAATGGTCTGATTTCCAAAATACAAATGTCATCTGTCTATAGGTGCGTAGTTATTCTTTTCTATTCTATTTTCTCTCATTTCCTTTTCTGAATTATATCTCTGAATTGCAAATCACTGTAGTCCAATGATCTCAAACATGGCGTTTGAGATCATTGGACTACAGTGATTTGGACCCAGATAGGTCAGAATCTGACAAACAGACTGTTAGGATGCCTGGGCTGTTGACCCAGGGTTTTGAGTTTATTGTATTATTTATCATTTCTATTCTGTGGTTTCTTTGTTAGAGTTCTGTCTTATGTCTTATCTGGTTTTGCTTCCCCTTGTCTCGTTAGGCCTGATTTGCCCCAGCTGTGTTTCCCTCCTGTTACCCATTCCCTGATTGATCCCTCTGTGTATTTAAGCCCTGTGTTTCTCTGTGTCTGTGTCACGATCTACCCTCATCTTGCTGTGTGGGCTGTCCATTTGCCAGTTCAGGTTATTGTTGTTTTCAGTTTATTATTTGTATTTCTGGTTTTGCTAGTTATCTGTTTGCCTCCTAGCTATAAATCTGAGTTTGAGTTTACTTTCTGCCTCCGAGTGTCTGCACACTGGGTCCTCCTTACCACCACTCCTGCCTGCACACAGCCCTCACATGACACAGACAGCATGAGCAGGGCACCAGGTCACTGATTACTTACACACAGGTAAATGGATTGCTGACCACCTCTTAAAGTTGCTCCCTTATTAGAGTCCAGGTAACTCAGTGTTGTACATAAAACCTGAGAAAAAAGTATTACTCCTGTTGTAAGCACTACCTCTTATACACTACGCATTAACACACTCTCACATTTCCCAAAATTCAGTTTGTTTTGTTTCTGTAAGGATCCTTATAATTTAGAGGGGTTTCAAAGTCAAATGAACCTTCTGTCCTCAAAGTCGATGTGTTAGAAGAAGGAAAAAATGGGCATTTGTAAGGATCTGAGTGAGTTTGACAGAGGCCAAACTGTGAAAGCTAGATGCCTGGATCAGAGCATCTCCAAAATGTCTATAATCTATGAAAAGTGTTCCAAGGAAGGAACACTGTTGAACCAGCAACAGGTGTTAGAGTATACAGTGCATCATACTTTAATGTGTATGGAGCTGCATATCTGCAGATCAGTTAGGGTGTCCAACAAAAAGTGATAATAATAGGCACATGAGTACCACGTTGTTTTAACATCATTTGGATGGCTAGGTGAATTTCACCTTGAAACGTACCACCTATGAAACATTGTTGCTTTGGTGATTGATGGCTGTGGCCTCTTGCAGCAGGATGATGCGCCCTGCTGCAAAGCAGAAATGCTTCTGTAATGGTCCGAAGAATATGACTATGGCTTTGAGGTGTCGATTCCAGATGTCCCACATCTCAGTCCAATCGAGCATCTCTCAATTGCTCAATCGTGCTATTATGCAAATGGAAGGAAAAAATACAATTTGATGCTGTTATTGGGGAAAGGGTTTTTAAACTGACTACAAATATTAGAGCAACATGATTAGTTTATTATGGGCTCAAGATTAAAACAGTCCAATTGATCAACCGATCAAGCAGTAGAAGGAAACGATAAGAGGCTGATGGAAAATTACTGGCTTGGACAAAAACCAAAAACAGCTGAAGCAAAAAATTAGGTTTCCTGAAGTAAGGACAACAACATGCCCTTTCTGTCAGAATCATTTAAGAAATTAATGAAAAACAGTAAAGGCAGATTTCTCATAGGAAGAATTCAAAATTCTGACTGGAAAAACAAAACATTAACAGAAAAACTACATTTGCTTTCACGTCTCCTAATATTATAACTGTGTTTTGTTTTAAACAATTAAATGTTAACAATTAACACTATTTCAACTTCACTTTCTTGTGTTGTTAAGATCTGCTACCAGGTTACCATTGTTCTTCATTCAACCAAACAGTCACGGTGTCCATCATCACAAAGCATTTTCTTGATTGTAAAATTATGCTGACAAATAATTTTAATAAAATAATCCACCCATTCTTGTTTCTACAGGGTGGAAACAGATGTAGCAGAACTTGAAGCATAGAGCCCACTGACTGAAACCAGGAAGGCCTGGATTTACAATCACAGCATAGTAGAAAATAAATAGTTACCACAAGCTTCATAATGTTGTAGGTGTGTGCTGGGGGAAATGAATTGTCTCTACTCAAGAAACAATAGCTAATCAACCAACACTTCAGTCCTTAAACTTGAACCTTAAAATGTGGCACACTGATGGTGTATTAGTTTATAGCACATGCAACTATTTAATGGCCAGTGTTGAATAAGACACTCTAGTCGGCAAATCAAAGAGGACAACACAAACTACACCTGTTGTGTAGCTTTGTGTTTCCCAAGCATCTCCTACCAAGAGTCTAAACTGTAGTTCTTGAGTAAAAAGTCTTCATTTCCTGTTTTGGGTGAGTTCACTTGTGATTGTAAATTGGCTGTAAATAAGTGGTATTGTTTAAAGTATATATACAGAATAAAGTGCCCTGTTAATGTATAGTTAAATATTTTTTGTCATCTAAAGCATTTTGAAGGGTGCTGTTGATACTTTATTAATGTGTGATGCAAAATTTTACTGTTATTCCATGTTCTTCCTGTAGCACACAAACATCATGGGCCATAACCATCTTCTACTAAAGTTTGGTTTCCAAAATGCCAAACTTTATAGGATTATACTGTGGATATTGTTATACTGTACCAACTCTCTTGCTCTCTGTCTCTGTCAAACACACACTGCAAGATTTTCATTGTGAGTAACAAGAGCATGACAAGAGCATTTTGGAGGCAAAGTTGGAGAGGCAAGGCTGAGATTATCTGAGCATGTGCAGAGGAGAGATAGTAGATAAACTGGGAAAAAGGATGCTGAACATGTAGCTGCCAGGCAGGAGAAAAACAGAAAAGAGCGCAGAAAAGATTCATGGAGGACATGCGGAGGACATAAGCTGAAAGAAGAACACCTTGCAATCGACAATGCATGCATGCTTCTTTATCAGTTGCTTTGAGTTGCAAAACTAGTAACTGAACTGTGTAGATGGCTTAAATGTGTTTTTCATAACACACAAACCGTCAACCGCTCACATCCTATTTTAATGCCCGAAAGGTGCGAATAGGTCAAATGACAGGCAACAAAGCCATCTAGTGGCAGACTTTGAGTGTAGGAACCTATCTGTTTGTAACTGCTCTGAAACGCTTCAAAGCTACGTGTTTTAACTTTGAGTCATAAGTCGCTGTTCTTTCTCTGCTTTTCATGAAACCCTAAAGTACTGAAGGTAATAGAAAAATTAAACTCTAAAACAGATTCAGAGAAACACGCATTAATAAGGAAACACTTTTACGCATTTATAAACACGCATACACATACGCGCACACGCGCACACAGCAATGTTATTTAATCTGACACCTGCAGCGCAGTCGCAACTCCACACTGCGTCGCTTACTGGTAGTGAAGATGCTCTCACGGACTCTTCAGTGTCAGTAACTCCCAGAGGAGCTGCGTTATTACCACTGAGGGCGCAGAGCGCGCTGATCCGCGCACAGAGAGAAACACGACGGTTGTGCTGGAACGGATTTAACAATCTGATTTCTTTTACAGAAAGAAGGTAATTTAGGATTCGGCTGCAATCTGCTCCAGATGTTTTTACTTGGAAAGCCCACCCTGTCATAACGGCGCCATATCTTAACTTGGATGTACTTTTTGATTTTACCCCATGGATTTTTTTAACAATACAAATTTTTCAATCGATGGCAGCAATTCAACAACAGGTAGGTTGAACAGTATTACAGCCCAATAGACCTACGTTGTTTGAGGTGTAAATCGTCTAACATTAATGTAAAACAAAACAAAACAAACATAAAATGATGCTTCAGTTTTCCTTTCTTGTAATTTTCTTTTATCTTCGGTTATTTCATATTATCTTGTGTTCTAACTTCACGTTAGAGCGCATAACTATTTCCCAAATAATACGTTTGAAATGGAAACATGAATAAAGAAAAACATTAGTGCAAGCCTAACTAAATTAAGGCAATAGTCCCTCACATGGTTCAAAAAACAAAACAACTACAACAAAAAACCCCAAACATAAATATACTGACATAAATATGTTCTCAAAACAGGATTTTGTAAGTTTGGAACACAAGAACAGATCTTTTAGACATCTAATTATATCTTTAGAATAATATTGAATCTGTTGTATTTTGTTGTATTCCTCTCTGTCTTCGACTTTGCAGCAGTAGTAAAGCAAAAAACCCAACCAACCAAACAAACAAACAAACAAAAAAGGCATGCAGACACCATAGGCAGATATATACACGTGTAAAGCAAATAGATCTGCCTGGACATGAATTTAAATTTATTAAAATTCTTACTTTTATTATGTGGTACTTAGATATACTGTATTTCATGCTGTATCCGTACAGTTCTAAATTGTATTTTTGTGTATTTTTAAGATGTAAAGCTAATTTGTAATATTTCCACATTAACTGCTGTTCCCCCCTTTTTTGGTCTCCAGCTGAAGATGGTGCTCTTCACTGTGGTGCCATCCTACCTGTCATCTTTGGCATTATCTGCTTTCTGGGCATCATTGGGAACTGTATTGTCATGTACACCATTATGAAGAAGACCAAGTGTCGAGCCAAGCAAACAGTTCCAGATATCTTTATCTTAAATCTGTCAATTGTTGATCTTCTGTTTCTCCTCGGGATGCCATTTCTCATTCACCAGTTGCTGGGCAACGGTACCTGGCACTTTGGAGCCGCGATGTGTACGGTCATCACTGCGCTCGATTCCAACAGCCAGATTGTCAGTACTTATATCCTCACTGCAATGACCTTTGACCGCTATTTAGCTACTGTGCATCCCATTCGCTTCAACTATGTCCGCACGCCTTGTGTGGCTGTGTTGGTCATTGGGCTGGTGTGGGTTTTGTCCTTACTCACCATTATCCCTGTGTGGATGTATGCCGGCCTGATGCCTCTCCCAGATGGGCTAGTGGCCTGTGCTCTGCTTCTGCCTGATCCAGTTACAGATACATACTGGTTTACACTTTACCAGTTTTTCTTGGCCTTTGCGATACCCTTAGTCATTATCTGTCGGGTATTCTTCAAGATCCTCCAACACATGTCCACAAGTGTGGCGCCTCTGCCTCCACGGAGTTTGAGAGTGCGCACCAGGAAGGTGACCCGGATGGCAGTGGCCATCTGCCTCGCTTTCTTTATCTGCTGGGCTCCTTTCTATATCCTCCAACTGGTGCACCTGGGGGTGCAGAAGCCGAGCATAGCGTTCTCCTATGCCTATAATATTGCAATTAGCATGGGCTATGCTAACAGCTGCATTAACCCATTTCTCTATATCATGCTAAGTGAGACCTTTAAGAGGCAGTTTCTTAGAGCTGTACGGCCAGCTCATCGGAAGTTCCGCGTGGTGAACCCGAGCACCACAGATGGTGGCAGTGTCAGTGTGAGGATGGTACCTGAACAGGCTCAGCAGGAGCCAGCCTGCAGGGAGATGATACCATCCAACGTGGCTCCAGAATGACTCCATGGATAAAAATATCTGTTATTTCATTATTTTGTATCTAAGCAACTGGTCATGGGACAGCAGACGAAGAACAAATTTTCAGAGCATCTGTGAGGAGCAATATTTCATATCAGTCCTAAATGATCCTTGATTAATTACATGTGCATTTGCCAAGCACAATTCTGTTGGTTTACACTGCTGCTGCTGTTGTTGTTGTTGTTGTTGTTGTTGTTGTTTTAAACTCTTACAAGTGTGCTGCTCTTTATTAATTAGCAGAAACACAGTTGATTCATTTATTCAAAAATAGAAACCAGTGTAGTCAGAAAGGGATATTTACTGTCAATATGTGAACTCATTGAAACACATATTTAATTAATATGAGCTTGCACATCCATAGCCAAGGCAAATATTAGCTTTCTTATTTTGTTATTTTTCTTCTTCATATACAAAAGCTGTTCACTTCACCCCCAAGGGGTCACCACAGCAGATGGATCAGAATATATTTGGCGCAGATTTTATGCCAAAATGCCTCGTCATTTATCTAGACTCGGGACCAGGAGGAGTCCACCAGCTTTTGATGCCCTGAAAGTGGATTTATGTCTCCTGCTGCTCTTGAGCAGGATTCTTTCATGTGTTAACCACTACAACTTAGAGCTTCTCATTCATATGAAAACTCAAGTGATTAAAAAAAAAACCCATCTAAAAAAAGGTTTTAACCCAGCAGTGATCACTTTACCTGTTTTCCTCTTTGCCTATCTTTTACACCAGTTATTAATGGTACTTTTGCATTCAATACCATCGTTCCCTCGAAGCTGGACAGGAAACTGCAGGATCTAGGACTGAGCAGCTCCCTCTGCAGCTGGATCCTTAGCTTCCTGTCTGACAGACGCCAAGTGGTCAGACTGGGCAGCATCACCTCATCCCCCATCACACTGAACACTGGTGCTCCACAGGGGTGTGTACTGAGCCCTCTCCTGTACTCACTCTACACCTACGACTGCACAGCCACTAACAACTCCAACATCATTGTGAAGTTTGCGGACGACACTACAGTGGTGGGTCTTATCACCAACGGTGATGAGACGGCTTACAGGGAGGAGGTCAGCGCCCTGACCCACTGGTGTCAAGACAACCATCTCACCCTCAACGTCGCAAAGACAAAGGAGTTGATAGTGGACTTCCGGAGGTGCAGAGAAGTACACACCCCCATCACCATCAACGGCGCTGCTGTGGAGAGAGTGAGCAGCTTCCGGTTCCTTGGTGTACATCTGGCTGAGGATCTTACGTGGTCAGTACACACAAACAAAACAGTGAAGAAGGCGCAGCAGCGCCTCTTCTTTCTCAGGAGACTGAAAAGATTCGGCATGAGCCCCCGCATCCTCAGGACCTTCTATCACTGTGCCATTGAGAGCATCCTCACTGGATGCATCACCACCTGGTATGGCAACAGCACCGCCTACAACTGCAAAGCTCTCCAGCGAGTAGTGCGGTGCTCTGAACGGATAATTGGAGGTGAGCTTCCCTCCCTCCAAGACATCTACAGGAAGCGCTGCCTGAGGAAAGCGGGGAGGATCATCAAGGACTCCAGTCACCCCAGCCATAAACTGTTCAGACTGCTTCCATCAGGAAGGAGGTTCTGCAGCATCCGGTCCCGTACCAGCAGACTGAGAGACAGCTTCTTCCACCAGGCCATCAGACTGCTGAACACGTCATAGACACCTCACCTCCACTACTGGAACTTTAACATTATGCACTCCATACTGTACAGTAATGCCACTGTTTTGCACATGTCTCACTCTGTATATTTTTATATATTTTATTTATTGTTTACTCTATTTAATTTGTAAAATATGTGTACACACACACACACACACACACACACACACACACACACACACACACACACACACACACACACACACACACACACACACACAGTAGAAAAATATTTAGTATACACATCCAGAAATGCATATACTATTATATATTGTACATATATTTATTAGTTTCAGATGTAGCCATTCTTGTATTTTGCTTGTTTACATTATTGTATTTTGCACAACTCTGTTGCTTGTGAAGCTCGCACACAAGAATTTCACTCACATGTGCTGTACCAATGTACCTGCACATGTGATGTGACAATAAAAGTGATTTGATTTGATTTGATTTGGGTTATTATGTGTATTTATGCTATTTATTTATATTTATGCTCGTGGAGTAAAACAAAAATCAAAGTCATGTTAAGCTACTGACCAATTTAAAAATATTATTTTTTTGTAGCACTTTATGCAGAAATATTTAATGCTGTGATCACAAAAATCGACCACCCTTGTTAAAAACTCATACACAGGGATGATATAAAGTTCTGGTGCGATTTCACTGTCATTTTACAACGTTGCATGTAGCTTTGAATTTTATTGTTATACAACTGAGAGCTATGATCATCATCATTATGAGGCCAAAGAAGAGGAAAACACTATGGAGAAGTGAATTGAATACAAAGAGACTTTGGACATGATATTACCAAACATCAAAAGCTAACAGTGTTTACTCTTGAGGAAGGGCAATGCGAAGAAATGTAAAGTTTTGTTAGGATTCAATAATAATTCAAAGCCCCTGATTTAAATGAGGTGGTATTTTGGATGAATTAGCATGTCAAATATTTTTAGGTGTTGTTCATTTTGTTTATTTTTTAATAAATTATATTGTATTTTAGCTGTCTTTGTTATTGTATTCTATCTTTGCTTGTGTGTATGCTGTAAAAATATTCCAACTCGGGGTTTCTCAACCTTTTCTACACTGTGACCCAGTTTCCAGAAACTGACTGGATTACAGCAATTAGAGGTGACAAGTTGTAAGTTGACATACCTCCCTGTAGGGTCCAGAGACTGAGGTTAAGAAACTCTGGTATAACTGTTGATCTTGTCATATTCTATATGAACCAAGAACAAACCATCATCATGTCAAACTACTGGCTACAATAAATTGTGACCCACCCTGTGATGTAAACATTGACACTTACATACAATATGTTTATTGCAACAGAAATAAACACAATTTGCATGAAACTATTAAACTGGATTAATTTACCCGTGTGTGTGTGTGTGTGTGTGTGTGTGTGTGTGTGTGTGTGTGTGTGTGTGTGTGTGTGAGAGAGAGAGAGAGAGATATAGATATATTGGATCACTAACATGTGAGGTACTACAATTCCAGTTATTCACAGCTCTAATACAGCTTCCTTACGATGTTTTGCTGAAGCTCAAGGACAGATCTTGAGTTTACTTTACATCAAAGAAAATCTACACAAGAGCTGGAATCAAAAGCTTTAATAACCTGAGTTTGCTCATTAATGGATAAGCAAGTAACCAAGAATAGAGACTTGGATTGTGGACATGAGGACACGCTGGAGCCTAATACAAATCTTTTTTTTGAACATATATGATTTATCTTAAACTCCGCCTTTCATGTTCCAGACTAATTTTCAAAAAGGCACAAGCTTAATTATATTGTCAGAACAAATTAATATTTTGACATGTCTGAAGACTTAATTACCACTAATGCATCCACACGTCCCGAGGTGTAATTGTTTTGTGCTCAAAAAGCGAACATAGTTATTAGACTTATAATGAAAGGCCCTTGTCTACTGCATCTGCCCGCTGCTTCACTCCCAGATTCCTGTTTTCATGAACTGAAGCCTCATTTATTTTCCACAAAGCTGTGGAATTCAGAGTTGTTCTGCAAAACTCTCAATATTGTTCAGAATGGAGCATTATTACATATTCATTAATAATGTCCTCATTAATACAGTGTAGCATAGGCTGCACAGTCAGTGCACCTCAGCTGGTCTGATAATACTCTGGTACTATGATTACTGACTGTAGTATAGTCAGTGCAACTACGAAGAAGAGTAATATTGGCATATTAATAAATGTGATAAGATACAAATTTACAAAAACACTTATTTCTACAGGTAGATAAAATAATATGCAGGTTTTTCAGTGATGTTTTATATAGATGTGTTTTTGTGTTTAAAATCTGTTGCTACCAACAATACTTCAACCAGTAATGTTTGTAGCACTGGGATGAGCTGAAGCACCGCAGCAATTTCCTAATGTTGTAAACCTGCTCAACATCTGGCAATAAACCCTTTCTGATTCTGATTCTGATTCTGAGAAAACATTAGCATGAAAACAGCATGATTGACAACCTTTGTTGTTGTACTAAGTTGAGTATAGTGTGTGAGATAATGTTGATATCTAAACCCCATTTAAATCATAGCAAGTGAGGTAGGTAAGCTAAAAAGACACAATTTAAGGCTGGGAAAACATTGCTGTTTCAATTAAAATTTGTTTAATTCAAGACACAATGTTTTTTGAGGGGTAAAAATCTATTAAAAATGTACTAAATGTACCAAATTGTATTTCTCTGCAGCATTTACTAATTTCAGCATCAGTGGCAGCTAAGATACAGTGATTCAAATTTGGAAGTAAAGCCAGCTTCTTGGTTATTATTAAATGAAAATCATGAAATTATAGAGATAATAAGCCCTCTTTTTTGCTGTTTTTCTTCATAGTGACTTTAATTTCTGGGCTTTTAATTTGAAGTTCACAAACGAGCTCTACAACCTTGGATCATTTGGAATGAATGAAATCTAAGAGGCTTTAAGGGCCCATTATATTCACCACTGTTGCCCTCATGAGTGGCATGGCAAAAGCTGCACCGGTCCTACACCTCTCAATTTTTGTAACCTTGCAGGAGTGCCACGGCTGGCACCACTGGGTTAAAGACACAAGTCGATTTTTACCAGCATTTTAAAAAACAGGTCAGTAAAGATGGTTTGTTCCATTAGAAATCAGAAGTTCCCAGTCGGACTTCCTCTCAAGTCAGAAAGTATGAGCATCCTCCCCCAACCGTGACAATGCATGAGTATAGATGTATAAATTCATTAATCACTTTGTTGAACTGTTTGCTATTGCAAATATCTAATCAGCGATTAGCGACTCAGGAGAAGGATTCAGGGGTTCAGGATATCCTCAACAACTCACTTTAGTATCACTGTCATCAGACATAAGTGAGCTTCCCTGAATCATTCTGTCATGATACAGCTGTGTGGCAGGCAGGATGTAGGACCCAAACGCAAAACACTCAATGGAGGAATAAATTAAAGAGGCTGCTTTATTGCACTTGCATAATATTCACAACAATAAACTTGCAAAAACAAAACAAAACTACAAAATTGGAGCTAATAACAAAAACACTGGGAAACCTGGAAACTAGGGATGAAGATCTCAGGGAGCAGGGAAGCAGAAACACATAGCACGGTAAGGGGACAACATGACACTGACAGAGAGAAACACAGGGCTAAAATACATTGAGGGAAACCAGGAAATGAGACACATGAGCTGGGCGCAATCAACATGACGAGACCAGGGTGAAGCAAAACTAGACACACTGACATAAGACAAGGCACTGTCAAAGTAAAAAGTAAAACAGGAAGAAAAACACAGAAACACAGACTTGACACTAAACAAAGGGAACACGGAGCACAGAGGCAGGAGTCACATTAGACACGACTGACCAGGGAACAAGAATAATAATAATAATAATAATAATACAATAATTAAAACACTGGGTCACCCACCCAGGACCGTTACACACTCGTATCGTACGTTTAGATTAGAAAAATGTTTCCTGATGGTTCTGGATTTCTGCTGCAACATTCATATGGTATGGTCACAACTCACTGGATATTTACTCTAGTTTCAGATGAGCATTGTTTGAATGCCGTAGCCTACCTGAACATTATTGCTGACCATGTCCATGTCTTTAGTGCACAGTGCA